TCCTTCCTTCCTTCCTTCCTTCCTTCCTTCCTTCCTTCCTTCCTTCCTTCCAAGATACATTTAAATTAGTTAATCGAGAATATTAAAATCCCTCTTGGCCCTTTCCTCTGCAGTGTACTAGGAAACCACTGTGCTCAGACCAGAACACCCAAGGCACACAAACCTCTGGACTGTCACTGGTACTCCTCACAGCTGAGCGAAGGCTCGTCCTTTTTGAGGATACATCTAAAGTGATGCTTTATTCCTTGGTGGAGTACATGAATGTGCTTGCTGAGGTTGAATGAGACAAACAGCAATGACCCAGTTATGGGATGCTGGCTAAAAAAATTCTTATAAAGGTGAACACTGATTCTTACAACATTTAAGGTCTCAAGTCAAATGCTTGAACATAAGTCTCGGGCACACAAAAGGGCAAACAGCATTTAATTTCCAAAGAATGAGGGAAATAATGTATTGAAAAACAAAACAACAAAGACGTGTGAGAAAGAACACAATATGTTTTTTTTAAAAAAAGCAAAATTCTCGTTCTTTTGACCCAAGGGAAGTATCTTTGATTTGTTCTATTAGGAAAATCCAGACAGAAAAAAAATGCATACTGTACTGATTTTCATTGTCAATTTCACATCACGTCTTGGATTCCAAGGAATGAGCTTGTTTATAATGTCATCAGTGGTGAGCACTTAGGATTGATGACAGTGAGCTAATCTCCATCAGCATCTAAAAGTGTATTACTGCAGAGGGTATCAGCTCTGTGGACATTAGTAACATGTTTGGGCAAAGAAGTAGAATTGGTAATATATATATTTCTTGACTCACTACTGCAGACTTCATTTGGAGATTTAGGAAGAATTATACTATAATCGCAAGTGTGCAGACTATCTTATAAATTTTTACTCTGCATTGATAAATGATACTTATACATACTTAGGGGCATAATGAAACATTTCAATGTGTATATACATTATACAAAGATTTAGTCAATCTAACCTATGCATCCTCTCACACACGTCTTTCCATAATAACGATTAAAATTTACTCATTTAGGTATTAAGATATATACATTATTATCAATGATATTCACAATATTTATTAGGATATTTACATTTGTTCCTCTAAGTACAACTTTGTCCCCTTTGACCAACATGTCTACGTCTCCCACTCCACCAAACCTCCACTCTCCAGACTCTTGTAGCTATGACTCTAGTCTCTAATTCTATAAATTTGAGGTTTTTAGATTCCATACATTAATGAGATTGTGAAGGATTTCTTCCCATGCCTGGCTTATTTTGCTTAGCACAACATCTTCAGTGTTTATCTAGGTTGTCGCAAATACCCAAATTACCTTCATTGTAAGACAAGAGTGTCCCAGTATATATGACTGTCATGGTTTGTTCATCCACTGATGAACACTTTGATTGATTTTATAATGGTGGCTGTTGTGAATGACGCTTAGTGAATGCTATCGAACACCAGTCTCTCCCATAGACTGAATACAGTTCTTTGACTTACATATTCAGAAGTGAGATTACCAGATACCATCGTGGTACTATTTTTAGTCTGAGAGATTTTTACCAGTTTCCCAAGATGGCCATGCTTTCTCATCCCTCCATCACCAGCATACTAGGGTTTTTTAAAAAATCTCCTCACAACACTTATAATTCTTTGCCTTTTCATAGTCATTGTAGCAAAAGCTCAATGATCATTGGGCTACTTCTTTCCCTGCTATTAACTGTATGAATTTCTTTTGTATTTTGTATGCAAATGTCTTGTTATTCACTTTGCAAATACTTTTTCAATTCATGCATCTTATTGTTTGTTTAGTGCTTGCTGTATGCCAGGCATTTATGATATCGTAATTCATGCAGCCATGTCATGAATGAGGTAATATTTTTGTTCCCTTAGATAGATGATGAAATGACAGCTTAGGAAGGGTAAACAAATGGCCTGTTATGATGGAACAGCTAAGTAAGTAGCCAGTAAATCCCCACCTTCCTAAACAGCTGCATCCATTCCTCTCCTGAGCTAGTATATGGTGAATTGCTAGGACTTACCCTGGTCTGCTCAGCAAACTGATGCTCACAATGCAGTAAGAGCCAATGAAAATACTCAACTGCAAAAGAGTCGAATATTCCATCACCTAGGACCCTTTTTACTCAAAACCCACTCACTTTGTTGTAAAGCAACTCAGCTGAACAGCTAAACAAGAAAGCTAGCACTCCCCATGCTTTAAGTTAATGAGCAGCAGGTCTGTGAAGTGCTGATGTGGCTGGCAGATGCAGGGAGCGTTCAGAGTCCAGCAAAGGTCCCTCACTTGGCAGAAGGATAAAAGGAATTCGTGTTCTGTACTCTCCACAAAGCAGGCACCAAGCAGAATGTTTCCCTTGGATTTCAAGGGCAAGGTCAAATCTGCAGAGAGCAAGTAACAGCAATTCTGGCTTTGCTTCCTCTACCCTGGAGAGCCCCTAACAAGCAGCATAGAATGATCTTGTCACCTACCTATTTCCATGAACAAATAAAAGGGACTAATTACTCAAAACAACCTGTCAAAAAGCCTGTGGTTTTGCTTCCATAATCCTTAGATTAGGCATGGAGGGTAGTTCCTGGGGCCAGAGGGACATTTGGTGACCTAGCTGTCACCAAGAACATTGTCAGCTACCTGACCCAGGAGGAATGTAATGGAAACACACAGCTCTAAGGCAGAGCTTACTGTGTTCTGAGCCAAGTCAGTAATGCCTAGCAATTCTCAGCCCTTTGGCATCTTTTATGGCCTCTTCCAGAAGCTGTGGAAAGTTGCCACTGTGTCTTTTTCACATAAAAAACTACATGTATTTCTATGCATACAAAATACCTGTGGATAATTTTGGGGACCCAGGGCCTCAAAGCTCATACATTAAATCCTTTAGGTTCCCCGCAGCCCTCTGCTCTGTTAGCAGCAAGTCTCTGGTTCAGATCAAACCTCCAGCAAGATTTTGCATTAATGGGGGACAAAGATAACAGGGCTGGGAGCCAACACCCACGCACACAGCAGCAAGCAAATGAGCTAGCTGTCGAAGGAATAGGAGAACAGAAGAGGCTGGTGCTGCAGCTCCCAGCCGGGCGTATCTGTCTGCTCCTTTTCTCTCCTTCTCCCCAACCTCTGCTTTCTCCCACTCAATCTGTTGTTCCGCAACATTTGAATTTACAAAGCTAGCACACTTTCATTCTGGTCTGCTTCCTGTAGAAGACACTAGAATCAAGCCATCATTCACCCAAAGCCTTTCCACTTCCTGTCTCTCCTCTGAGACTTGATCTCAGGCTGTTGACTACCTATCACAAAGCAGGGAGAGAAGTTCACATTCAGAGGGGCCAGCAGGGTCAGGCACATTCCAATAACTTACTTGTATGTTCATGTCTCTCAAAACTTGGTATGCTGGCCACCTGTGTCTGAGCCAGAGACTGCAGGAAATTCAGATTCATAGGCTACATTCCAGATGCGTGGAACAGAGTGCAGGTGTGGGAGGGGAGGAGACAGAAAATACTTATAGAGAGCAGGTCTTTCTGACTGAACTCTCTGCAAACTAAAGACTTCCAACTCCATTCTTGAATAAAAGTTCCCACGAATGTACATACCCAAACCCTAACCCTTTACTCCAATAAAGACATGCTGAATTAACCAGAGCATTCACTTTCCATTCTTTGATTGTCCTGGGTCTCTTATGAAAATGTCACTAAAGATGCTTCCTCTACAGCAGATCTGACCATCCCACAAGTTTAATAATTGGGTAAAGTTTAACATTTGGATAAAGTTTTGCCAAAACAAACAAAAGAAGAAAACACCTCAAATGCTTTCTTTCGTTACATAAGGAGAGCTGAATAACACTGTGTGTTTTCATTTTCACCCAGAAGCCCAGAACTAAATCCAGGTGTTTACACTCGATTCCTGGGTAGTGTCTTTGATATTGAGGTTCCTAGGAATACATCCACTCCCTTACATAACCACCTCTTAGTCTTTTTCTCTTGTTTTAAATACTGTTTGAACATTCCTTTTCCACTGAAAGCTGTTACTAGTGTTTTCTCCAGTACAGGCGTGTGCACATCATGTTTCAACAGTATCTGCCAGTTTGTGATACTGTGTGAAGGAAGCATCTGTGGGAAGGCAGTGATGTCAGATCTCATCCATCCTTGTTCTTGCTTATCTGTTTCCTTAGGCTGCTCAGTTATCCTCTTTAGACCTGGCTTCATCCTCTCAGACAAAGTTGTCTTTCCAAGGCATCCCAAGCCCCCAATTTCCACCTCAGGCCTTACATCATCTTGTCAGTAGGAAGACCATGTTGTCTTCCCTGAGGAGGCCTAGCATCAGTGCTGGGACCGCAATCTTGTACTTCATGCTGGACCATGAAACAAAGATGTCTTGGAAGCACAGGCAATGGAGCCTGAGATCCTAGGCCTGGTCTCTGGTCCTAGTGCCATAGTAAAGAAAGGCCAGTAGAGGCTGTGCCAGCCACATACAAGATGTGTTTGCAGTGGTAAGAGACACTTAGGATTAGAATTAAAGCCACTCAACCAAAACAACACTGGCTTTTATTAAAGTACATTAAAATATTGCAAAGTATTTTTTTCTTAATCTTGTCTTTGTCAAATTAACAGACCCCCAAATAGCTAAATGTCAGTATGTTAAATGTTTCATCTCAAAAATTAGAAAAATGTTTGATATGATAGATATGCTAATTAGCCCAATTTGATCATTATACGGGCTATACAAATATTGGAACTTGCACGATTATTAATCAATGGAAAACACACTGCAAGGTTTA